AGCATCTTCACACCGTGCATGTCCAATGGGCTTCATGGTGCAAAACCAGAACAAGAACATCTGTAATCTGATATACTCTCTAATTCCATTTTTATGTGTCCTTAGACTTAAAATCCATGATGCAGTCTTTGTAAACACTTTGAAAATGCAGGTCCTCCAACTTAATAGCCACTAGTAAACATTAACACGTGCTGAATTTTGAGCAAAAGCCATGTAGAAGAACATCCAGAATGCTTTCCTTTCTAAATGTTTGCTCTTGACTTTATAAACTTTCTCTTCTGAGTTTGGTACTGGCCCAGGGCCTCTCAAGGTTGTCCCTATGAAGCACACATTAAAACACCCAGACTTCTGATGTTTACTGTCATCTGTCTTCAAATGCTGTTATTGATCTCAAAGAGATCTAGTCAGTTACATGGGGTAACCGTATTTGAATTCATGTATTTCAATAACAAAGACAAGTTTTGCTTGAAATGTTTTGCTTAAGAAAGGACCTTCCGGGAAAAAATAGAGGAAGCAGGGGTAGGTGAAAAATTGAAGTGGAGGAGGGTAGGTTAGATATAAATACATTATATACATGTATAAATAATAATATAATCTTCAAAACAAAAAGAAATGACACTCGCGCATTGCACCTCTGCATTTCTCACGTTATTCATCGGAAGTGAAATAACATGACTGACAGATTCACATGCATGTGATTTCCCAAAACTCCTGACACACACATGCCCAGGACGGAAAACCCAGGAACATATTCATGTGCTCACAGCCAAATGATTTCTCACAAAGATGCCAAGAACATAGATCCTGGAGGAAGTGGGTCTGGGGAAACTGGGCCGCTGTACGCCAGAAGTAAAAGTAGACTGCAAACACAAAACTAAAATCAGAATAGATCGAAGAACTGAACGCAGCACATAAACTGCGAAACACCAGGAGAAAATATGGAGGAAACATGCGTCTGGGCAAAAGCTTTCTGAACAGCATTCCCCAAACACAGACAACAAACAAAAGCAAGAGAGATGCAGGGACCACAACTTGGGACGACAAAGACAAGGACTGAAGCTGAAAAGGGTTGCCGAGAGACAGGGGTGACACATTCGCCAAGATTAATTTGACCAGGACTGGTGAGTGCAATGTGTAAGGAACGCAAACAACTCAACGCAGTAAAACTAGACAACACAGCAATAAAATGGAGAGATGGTCTTGATAGATATTCATTTTTTTAAGAAAGGAAGAAACATAAATGGCCAACAAATCTGAAGAAAGAATTCTCAGCATCGCTAATAATAAGGGAAATGGAAATCCCAATGATAATAATACGCCCCTTTGCCCTGACAAAAGCGGCTATATTTGAAGGGCAAATCAGTAAAGTAAGAAGAAAAGTATACTCTTTCCACTGTGGGTAAGAGTAGGTACTAGAATAGCCAATATTGGAAATGGTGTCAATATTCTTTAAAAAAAAGAAAGAAAGAAAGAAAATAGAGAGAACTAAACTAAAAATGATGCTATTGTCAGATGACCCATCAGTTCTGGGAGCCAAAGGAAGCCCCACTGTGGAATAAATGGATAAAGGAGATATGGTATAAGCACACAGTGCAATGTTATTCTGCCATAAAAAGAATAAAAGCCTGTCATTTCCAGCAATGTAATGTAGCTAGGGAGCATTATGCTGGTTGGAATAATCCAGGCACAGTAACAGATTCTCATAGTTATATGTAGAAGCTAACATAGTTTGTTTCTTCAAATTTGAGGGTAGAATAGTGATCATAAAGTCTATAATGGGGGGAAAGGGAAGGGATAGAGAAAGATAACATCAGATACCAATCAACACACAGATAGTAATAAATTCTAGACAGTATACTATAGAATAGCAAGGTGAGTATCTTTAAAAATCATGTACCTCACTGGGCGGTGGTGGCACACGCCTTTAATCCCAGCACTAAGGAAGCAGAGGCAGTCGGATCTCTGTGAGTTCAAGACCAGGCCTGATCTACAAGAGCTAGTTCCAGGACAGTCTCCAAAGCCGCAGAGAGACCCTGTCTCAATAAGAAAAAGAAATTATGTGCCTCAAAAATATCTTGAAGGGAGCTGGAGGGATAGCTCAGCCATTAAAGGCTAGGCTCACAACCATAAATAAAAATATCTTGAAGGGTTCAAGGGTTCCCTGAACAAAGAAATGATGAGCATTCCGACTTGACATCACATGCTCTTCATAAGTATAAAATTATCACAATATGTAATGTCTATACTATACCAATTAAAGTAAAATTTTAAATATTAAATGCATGATACTTTTTCATTGAGCATGAGGTAACCTTCTGACACCACAAGATGAAATCATAATATCCCTTCTTGGGAATAAACTCACAGATGTGTAATGGAAATGACATCCCAGGAGAAAAAGCAGTGAGATGGGGGGAGGTTAATTTTCTTCCCATCGGTAGGCATTATGTCAGAGAACACTAAAATTTAGACAGCTCAAGTAGAAACACAGGTGTCTGCAAGTGGGCATCAGTCAGCGTACTATTTGTCAGTAAGGCATACAAGCATCTCTTTCCTATGGCCGTAAGAGGTAAATATTCTTCATTAATCCAACCGGTTCAAAGCCCAAAAGGGAATGTCTTACTCAGCTGAGCAATCAGTGAGCCCTCCGGAAAGAGAATAAAAACAAACTGGGGTTATAGAGCATTGCTAGTAGCTTTGTTACAGAGACATTAAAGTCGCAATCCACCTGGAACATTTCAAAGGCAAGAGTTTAACTGCTATAAAATGGCAAAAGTATTACAATCAACACAGACACTTCTTTTTCAGGTAGAAGACCTAAGATATGCAATGTAGGATGGTGTGTCTGCATAGGAGATTCTTGCTACTTTGTTGTCCTAAAAGACATCTGGAAGCATCTGTACTAGCTGCTGCAATCACATCCCAGTTCTCACTACAAGGAACCAACCACGCACTAAACACTAACAATCTAAACACTAACAAAATTTCCGCTAACATGGCGCTTAAAGGGACCACACCCATGGTCACATTAAGAGCTAGGAGATCTGGGAAATGAGTGCTTTGATGCTTTACTGTGTATCCTACTAAAAAAAACTATCCATGTGAGCAAACGAGAAGATGGGCCTAGGAGAGGAGCAATTAGCAGTCTTTGCCACAGTGACTACACCCCAAGTTGAGTAGATCATACCAACTGTCACTAGTGTGATCAATTCTCAGGTTATCATTTTTGCTGCATGGGGCTAATTTCCAGTTGTAACCCCATTAAGGTAAATGTTAGACCGTGGAGGAAAAGCATATGCACCATTACCCTATCATGCGTCTGTGATCTTGGCAATGTCGATTTGATGAGGGTGAAGGGGAAAAATGGGGACGGAGCGTGCTTGCTTCTACAACTGAGAAGTTTAATGATTTCCTGGATGTGTTGGGACAGAGTGTGAGACACGGATCTGTGATCAGGTCAGACTACCGGAGAATATCTCAGATCTGGAGAAAAGTTAAAGAATAGCCCTTTCAAATTGTGTCAGGTAAGTAGAATTGGTATTGAGCACTTATTTGAGCCCCTAAGATACCTGAAGTTAACTCTGGTCACCAATGAACTAGACATGTATGAGATACACAGTAACAACTTAGTTAGATACATATAAACACGTTAGTGGGATACACATTAACCAGTTAGAATTATCCAGTTCCTTGTGAAACTCCTTTAAACATGACAAAATAAAATTTCTTTTTCCTTACAAATATTCCAGTATAGCCCACTGTTAAGGGTACTTCATTTATGTGGCTATGCCTACATTAAGCACTGGAAAACATGCAATTTTAAACGTAGCCAGTCCTGCTATGAACATCTTCATACACATGAATTTCCTCTGTTGGCTGAGTTTCTAAGAGTAAAGGAATTACTAAGTAGACATCACTCGGGCCTACTGTTTCCATTTCTAATGTCTTCGCCTGTTTAGATACATGGCCACTTTTACTTGTTTATCTGATTATTGGCACAATATTGAATACATCACTATGGGGTTGCTGATAGATAATAACTTCTCCTGCCTTCCCTCATTTTTATACAGATTAGTACAATGTTAGAACAAAAACCAGAACTACTACAACTAGAAAAACAAAATAAACATAGGAAAAGTCCATTTCTTTTGATTGTAACAGCAATCCTAAGCTGCACTTGCTTCCATTTCAGAAACTTTATCCCAATAACTTAAAAATGGGAAAACATCCTAATATGTCTAAATGTAAAAGCAAATGCCTAAAAGCAACTAAAACAGCAACTGTTAAAAGTTTTTGCTCATGCACTTTATTAATCCAATAGCAATTTAAATTCTTTGAAAGTATAGAAAATGTTTGTTTCAAACAAAATTTGTGTAATTCACAACTTCTTGCAACATGTACTAATACATGAAACTAATTGGAAATACTCGCCCTTCACATTTTTATCTCCAGTTATAGAGCTGCAATTGTTTTTATAATTTCACAAATGTTTAATTATTCTTTTCTCATGTATCACATCCTGACTGAAGTTTCCCCCCCTCTTCTCTCCTCCCAGTGACCTCCCCAAGCCTCCCCCACAATCCACTCCTGCCACATTTCCCTTCAGAAAAAGGTAGGCCTCCAAGGGATATCATCCAAACACAGCACTTCAAGTTGCAATAATAATAATAATAATAATAATAAATAGGTGTGTTTCCTGTGTTAAGGCTGGATGAGGCAGCCCAAAAGGAGGAAAGAGATCCCAATGACAGGCAAAAGAGTCAGAGACAGCCCACTCCCACCCTTAGGAGTTCCACGAAAAGATCAAGCTACACAACCACAAATACCCCCCTGACGCAGCTTGGAACCAGGGACCAGAGACCGGTGACCCAGAGACCTAGGATAGTACCAAACAAGACCAGAAAGAAAAAGAAAGGTAAACTTCACAATTGTTTAAACCTTCAAAGTTATCTATAATGAACTGGAGCCCAACATAAAGTAACACAAAATCTCAAACTCACTTTGGTTTGTGATCCTTCTTTCTATTTGCACTTTCCAAATTAGCTTTCAAGAGTTTTTCATAGTAAGTGGAAGATATTACTCCAAACTTATTCATCACGGGTGACTTGTAAACCGACATAGTTACAGATCAGAAACCTAAAGAAAAATTGTAAGTTCTTGTTAGGATACAACTCAACACAACACAAAGTAACAAGTCATGTGAAAACTTACAGAAAGTATCAAGAAGAAAACCAGGCAGACTGAGGAGTCATTTAAACTGGTTTGTGGAACTCAAATCTAATGCGGGCGCTGGAACCCGTGTGCTTTCTATTATGTCACTGTGCAAGTTTATCCAGTCCCATGATTTGAGAAACCATGCAGGAATAACGGGCTACACAACAAGGCCCGGGTGGGTGGGGTAGCATCACTGCCCTGCGCCCAATTCTCCACTCTAAGCAGGGAGAATGGCTCCGCCCTGTGCAGGGGAAGGGAGTAGCATGGAGTATGTCAGCTGTCCAGAGCAGGGACTAGCTAGCATGCAGCAGGCTTTCCACTCAATGCTGGTGACTGTAGACCATTATGCTTAGTGAGGTTTTCTGAGACAATGTGTTAATGTCTTTTTACGTTTGTTGTCTTTTTGAACACTTGGGTTATGCTCTCTCCACTACCCATCTTCTGTTTCCTTCTGCAAAATGCCTGAGCATATTTTTATGGATGCATAAACAAAGCCGGGACATGCTATACATGTGTAGTAGAATATTTAATGCAAAAAAAATAGAGTAAAGAAATAGGTTGATCACGTTTATACTGAATTGTTTTTCATTTCTACGATAACTGAATTCAAAAGCTACTCCTTCGTGTAATTTAACAGTTTGACAGAAAACAAAGTATGTGCAAAAGGAGTAACTGAAGGAACTCTTTCTACAACCATGGCTACTTATAAACAAGAGGCTGTTCTTAGGGCCTAACAAGAAGATACCTCTCTCTGGACCAGACTGCAGGAGAATCACAGAATGAGAGACTGCAGGAGAATGGGGTTTAATTTAAAACGTGTCCTTTGGCTGAGCAATGCCACCAGCCGGAGGCTGCCCTCTAAGAGGCCTGGAGACTAGACCCCACTTACCCCACCCCAGCACCAGCACCAGCATCTGCCTGTGCTTCTGGTTAGGCCAAGCCAAACTGGAGCAGAAGGGAGACAAATGGGAAGCAAGCGCTGAGGGTGGCAGGACAATGTCTGCCACAAAATGGCTCACAAATGTAAAACGTTCTATTTCTGTCGCTCCATGGCAAGGCTTGCTTTCAACCATGCCCACCTTTCGGAATGCTGAGGCGAAGTCCTAAGTCAGCAGGCTCGCAGAGCAACTTTGGGTGGTGTCATTCAGAATGAGTGTAGAATGCAAGCTACTCCATGCAGAATTAATGTGTTAAGAGTATATTTTATTTAACAGCTACTAATATTAAAACTGTGCCTTTCCACCTTGAAAGGTGCCTGGAAAGAAAACTTCAAATTCATATCAAATTCATATGATTTTTTTCACAGACAGCCCAGAAGCAGAAATAAGCAGTTGCCTCCATCCGATAAACCAAATAAATATTGCAAAGTTGACAAGGTTTTAACATGATATAAAATTCTTGATATATGTTCAAGTAACCTATGAACGATTATCTTCCAAAGAAGGCAATGCCCACCCCTCCCCCAATCTCCAAGGGTTAGCCATTGGTGGAATGTTGCAAATACCCAAAACACAGCTGAGATGCGCAGGTTAATTAAAGTCATGTCAAATGGATGGACAGGAAAATGTACAGGAAGAACAAGTGTTGGAAGGGTGGGGTCTCTGGGGCCGCATTTTGAATTTGTTGACTCAGCACTTAACACAGAACTAGTTATGATTTTAAGCTTTCAGGAAGCCAGCCCCTAGTTAGTTTACAGCGTGGGATTGATCGCTCCAAGATTCTCACATCTACTGGTCACTGTGTCAGATGCCTCTGGCCTTTGCTCAGTACAAGAGTGGACAGTCTCCGAGTAGAGGAGAACATCACATTTTTGTTAAAATCTGCAAAAGCTGACTCTCCACTTCTGGTTGACCCTTGGTAACCCTGGAAACTGGATACATCAGGCACCAGTTTATAAAGTAGGTAAGAAGGGTCAGTGCTTTTCTCAAGTGGTTTTGGTTTCTTTGACTTTTTTAATCAAATTCTCAGTACAGCTACCAATGTGAATGCATCAGTAAAAGAATTACCAGTGTTCCTGTTCTTATTGTGTTTTCAGAACAACGCTGTTACATTGTGTGCTATGTTGAGATCCATTTTTTTAAGTTTTTCTCAACTAAGATACATTTTAATACTTTCAATGATTTTTACTTAACATAAAGTCTTGTTCCCTTTTTAGCATAACTAGCAGAGCAAAGCTTAAATATAATTTTGATAAATTTGTTCTAATTTCTCATGACAGATAAGCCTCACCAGACTATTTTTGTCAATACAAAGCAGTTGTGACCCCGGCAACAGTAATATGCCAAATAGTGTCAAGCGTGTTTTTAAAGATAAGAAACCAAAAGAATTTTTTTTTCTTTTCAAACGCTAATGTTTAATAGGTTATGGTCTGTAAAGAATATGGTTTTTCCTCCCGCCGCCGCGCCAGCCCCAATTAACACACTGAGACTCTGTATTTGATATAATGCTGTTGGCCAGGTACTAGTTTCTTATCGGCTGTCTTAAGTATTAACCCATTTCTGTTAAATATAAGTATTCCACGTGCTCTAATCTTACCGGGGAATGGGGCAGGTGTCTCGTCTCCCCAGTCTCTCCATCTTGACTCCTTCCTACTTCCTCTCTCCTCCTTGTCTCCTAGTCCTGCCTATCTAGCTTTCCTATTGGCCAACCGTGCTTTATTCATTAACCAGTATGAGAAACATATTTACAGAATCACATATCCCATCAGTGGTCTTTTTACCCCAGGCTGGACTTTAATTCGTTATGTAGTTGAGGACGACTTTGAACTTCTGATGCTACTTTCTCTACCTCCCAAGTGCTGGGATCACAGCAATGTGTCACCAGCCTGGCCCTGTGGCACTGGGGAATGAATCCATGTTTTGTACACACTAGACAACAAGATACAAACTTCTATCTGTGTGGGTGTATCATATCAAGTTTGATGTTTCTAAACTACTGAGACAAAAGGGTGTTCTTTCTGTGTAAGGGAGAAATAAATGTTACCCTTAAATGCCACCTAAGTTTTAAAAAAACAAAAGTTCAAAGCTAAAAGAATTTTGACAGGAAGCATTAAGTTTAAAAGCCAGCAGAAGACTCAAATCATCGTAGTATCTCTTAATTTGGCACTCTGTTACTTAGCCTTTAAAATGCGTTCAGTTTTGGAAGCCAACAGTGAAGGGCTGCATCAAAGCTGTTTCCTTATAAAAGGTTGGTCCTTCAGCACAGACATCAGCTCACAAAATGCTTTCCAATAACACCATGTTTCAGTGTATTTTAGCATTACAGTATAGGAACATAGTCACAGAACACATAAACCCAGTAAAAGTCTCCACTGCAACTTGATAAATGCACATATTACTAACACTGACCATTGCTATGCTACCTTGTAATTTTAACATAATAGCTAGCTACAGTCAGAATTACTAGGGCCGGTGAGATGGCTCAGAGGGTAGAGGTACTTGCTCCAAAGCCTGAAGACCTGAGCTGGCTCCTTGGGTCCTATGTAGTAGAAAGAGTGAATCAATTCTTGGAAGTTAAACTCTGACCTCCACAGGCATGCAATGGCGCATATTCGAGGCAGACAGACAGACACACACACACAGAGTCACCATTCTGGAGGTGGTAAAAACCTGCGAGAGCAGAGCTGATAAACGAGACAGACTACTAAAGTCTACTCAGAGAATCAGACTATTTAAACTCTGCGGATTAAGAGGAGTCATGTCTAAAATAACAGCATCTATGCTCACCACGGAAGCATCCGGGTGGCTAACTACTTTCTTTCCTGTGACCCAGGATTCTAGACAACATTCATCAACAAAATAAAAAATAAAAAACATCCCCCCCAAACGGAAGGAAGCCTGTTTTTGTTTTGTGGTATAACCCTCTGTTCCATAGAAGAGTCACATGAGTAAAATATGCAGTCACTAGGAAGGCACATGACAGACAAGCCGCACGTGGCAAAAGCATGTTTTTCCATAGGAGCACATAAACAATTAATAATATCCAGCTGCAATGAATAATCTGAAATAAACCCTACCACTGCACCTGGGAGGACAATGAAGCTAATCCAGAACACTTCCTTGTCCCTGAAGAAGCGCATGCCATGAGACCCTGTCTTGTTTTCTTGGAGTTTTCTCACAAGCACTCAGAATTCAGTCTTGGGCCACGTTCTAACAACACACAAAGAAATCTATTTTTTAAAAAATAACAAAAGTAATTATTGTGTACAAGTAAAATTAGCAGTGCACTACCCTAAAAATGACAGAGATGGAAGAGAAATTGCTAAAATTAAGCTTGCGTAAGGCACCAGCAGTGACAAATTATCATCTTGGAATCAGATTCTGTCAGAGGTGGGAAGTAATTCAGACAAGCAGAGAACAATGGAACAAACATTTTTTTAAAAATGAAGCCAGGTGACCTTAGCCCTACCATTTGGTTTCTGACCTTGGCAAGCCATGTGCTTGACCTTGAAGTGCATTCATTACCAAATGCACCGTCCAGGTCAGGCTGTGGCTCATCTGCCATTTCTCTCCTGGCTTTAGTGAGATTTGATTGACAAACCTGTATGTGTTTATGGAGTAGATTGCGGTGCTTTGAGTATGTAAATGTTGTGAAAAGATGACCATAGTTAACAAAAGTGCATATCCCGTCACGAAAGATTGTCTGTCTGTGTGGTAAGTATATTTAAGGCTTACCTTGGCAAATTTCATGTGTACGTTGTTAACTATGGTCTCCAAGTTGTAATAAATCCACAGAACTCACCCTCCTGTCTAACTGAGATGTGTGCCTTTGTCTAAGGGTTTGTGTCTACCCTTGACTACAGCCTCGGCCAACACCATTCTACTCTCTGACTGTTGAGCCTGATATTTTGAGTCTACACACATGTGAGGTCAGGCAGTAACTGTTTTTTGTGTCTGGCTTTATTTC